GGGGGGGGAGGGAGAGACAGAGACAGAGAGTGAAAGAGAGAGAGAGAATAGAGAGAGAGGGAGGGAGGGAAGGAGAGAGAGAGAGGAGGGAGACAGAGAGAGAAAGGGAGGGAGGGAGAGAGACAGAGAGAGAAGGAGGGAGAGAAAGAGAGAGGAGGGAGGGAGGGAGAGAGAGAGAGACAGGGAGAGAGAGAGAGAGAGAGAGAGAAAGAGGGACAGAGAGAAAGAGGGAGGAGGGAGGAAGGGAGAGACAGAGAGAAGGGAGTAGAGAGAGCTCATGGCAAATGGAACCTTCCCTCTGGATACTCCCTTCCCAGGAACCCCAATATCTAGTCCCTTCTTACAGGTCCCTAGTGCAGCCCAAAGGAGACACAGAGGTTAGTGTTCAAGTACTCTTGTTTTCGGATGGGGCAGGGTTAGGGAAGACTGAGCTTGGCAGGCAGGAGACAGGGGAACATCTCTGAGCTGTGATTGTCATGGGTCACAGGTCACTGGTGGTAAAGGAAGCAGCTGCCCCTGGCAGGCTGCCAATCTCAGCTCCAGACTGGTCCTGTTCCAGGATTTCCCAAGGTCTCTCGAGTTGCATGGATGGGCTGGGTTGGGGGGAGGAGGAGGATGGCAGTCAGGTCAGGGCAGCTTGCTCGCCCCCAAAGTCCAGGTCTGCCCAGTGTTAGGTGTTCCCCATGGCCCAGCTGTTCAAAGGATGGGAGGAGGTTACCTGGCCACAGTGCAGTCCGAGGTGTGAAGCGTCCGACGGCGTTGCCAAAGTCGGATGGAGGCCCTGGCCTCATAGCTGAGGCCCTTCGGGGCTGGCCCAGACGCTGCTGGCTGGAAGTGGGCTATGTGGTGAAGGGCCCCAAACCAAGTGGTAAGGTAATACCCAGCTGCAGGGTGGGAGTCAGTGGGACCAGTCATCTCTGGCCTATGGGCCGTAGCTCCCCCCAGGAAGTCTTGGCTGGCCGTTGAACCACCCCCACTGCCTGTAGTCTGAGCTGATCCTGCTCTGGGGCCCCTTCCCCAGCTCTGCAGAGCCTAGTACTGTAATCAGACCCTCCCACCCCCAGGGGAAATCCAGCCTACAATGAGGCCTCCATCCCTCCCACTGCATTCTGAGCATCCTGGCTCTAGGACAGCTCCCCACAGCCCTAGGGCCTTGGGGTCCAATTTCTCCATTAAGAAGCCTTTTGAGACATCCTGCCTGCCTGCCTGCTCTCTGATATCTTCTGCAGCCAGAGCCAGTGAGACCCCCAGAAATCTCCAGCCCCTGCCTTACTCTCCCCCAGCAGTTCTGCAGGGTCCAGAATCTCCATCAGGAATTCCACGTCCAACTGGGTGGCCTCGATGTCTGGACTCCACAGAAGCTCCTCTGTCAGCGCTGGCAAGAAGTCATCAGCCCCCAGGGGTTCTGCAGGAAAGAGATGTTGGGCCGATGGGGGTAGATGGGCCTCCTACACCGGCCCTTTGCCCAGGCAGACCCCTCTTACCCTGGCTCCCACTCTGGGCGAGGCCCTCATAGACATCCCTGCAGATGGCCAGCAGAAGGGCCACCTTGCGCTGCGGGGCCCAGACGGTGTGCAGGCGAGCCAGGCGGGCCTGGATGCGGTGCCTGGTCGGGCTGGGGACAGGGCCTTCCTGCAGCGCCCGGGCCCGCATCGCCTCCTGATGCCACTGCAGCTGCTGCAGATCCTGAGCTCTTAGCATGCGAAGCTTGGTCCACAGGACGGGCTGAAGGGGCCTGAGCACCACCCAGCACACAGCTGCCTCCACCATGGCTTCTGGGGATGTGACATCAGACAGCGCCCAACCGGGGCTGAAACTACCCTGTGCCAGACACCTTCTTCCCCACTCCCTTTTCAGCTTCCTTATGGGGCATCTTCCCCGTTAGAATGCAAGCTCCTTGAGGGCAGGGACTATCATTTCCTTATATTTATATTTCTAGTGCTTAGCACGGTGCCTGGTACATAGAAGGTGCATAATAAATTTTTGTTGACTGACTGACGCAGAGCTGTACTTAGTATAGAACAATGGGGCCTTGGCAAGGAGGACCTTTCTTCCAGGAAGTGTCCACCACCACCATGCCTCACTTTAGGTTACCACCCCAGCTCCCATCACTGTGGAAATCTCTTGTGGGACCTGTCTTCCTCACATGGTCCTCTCTAACAGTGCCTCTCCACTAAGCTGAGTTTGCCCCAAGTGCAAGAATTCCTACTTCTGGCTCTGGGCTGACCTCTGACCAGCCCTATCCATCCCTCATTCCTTGGTCCTTCCCCTTCCTCCAGTCACTGACCCCACAGAGCTTGTCAGTATCTCCAGCTACGGAAGAGAAGACAGACAGGAGAGAATCCTGACCCACTCATGGGTGTAGAAAGGGAACATGGGCACGCAGACCCATCTAGAAGGGGGCACGTGGTCAAACACAGACAGAAGGAGAAACATGGAGCTGAGCACAGGTGCCAAGAGGGGCCAGAGGGGCCTGGGCAAGATAAGAATGAAGCTGAGGAACACAATGCAAACCTGGGGATGAGCAACCGATGATCCTTCTCCTCTCCCCTGATCCTCCAGCCCATGCCCCCGAGGTGATGCCTGAAGGCCCCCACTCTTCTCCTCTCATGTGTAAACCTCACCTCTTACCTTACTGAGAAAAGCTGAGTGCCCCCTTCCTCACATCTCAACAGCCCTCAATGTCATCCCCAATTTCTGCTCCTTTATGTCAATCTCCGATGAAGAGATGACACTCGTCCTTGCCCAGGCCAGCCCCTTGACCCCCGACCACCTTGTTCCCTTGAGTCTATCCCCTCCCACCCTTGGCATTGCTCCCACAATCATCCCAGGCCTCTTCTCTCTCTCTCTCTCTCTCTCTCTCTCTCCCTCTCTTCCCCTCTCCCTCCCTCCCTCTCTCTCTCTCTGTCTCTGTCTCTCTTGGATACTCTCTTCCATCTTGGTTTTTATGACCCCTCTTGGGTCTTCCCGTACCTGTCTGACCACTCTTCCTCAGCCTTTATTGCAGGTCCATGACCCACATCCCCCTCACCCACTGTGGATGGCCATGAAGGCTCTGTCCTCAGCCCTCTTCTCTTTCCTTTCAATATTTTCTCACTTGGTGACTCATCAGCTCCCTTGGCTTCAATCGAGATACTGAGCCCTGGACTTTCCCTTGAGGTCCAGTTGAGAATCTTCAACTGCCCATTGGATATTTCATATTGGATGTTCTGTAGGTTCTCCAGCTCAACATGTACAAAACTGAACTTGTATTTCCCAAAACCAACGCCTCTTTTTTTTTTTTTTTTTAAAGGAGGCAATCAGGGTTAAGTGACTTGCCCAGGGTCACACAACCTGTGAGTATCATGTGTCTGAGGCCAGATTTGAACTCAGGTCCTCCTGACTCCAAGGCTGGAGCTCTATCCACTGCACCACCTAGCTGCCCTGTGACTTTTCCAAAGTGGGGTTTGACCAAGAGACCCCCCCCCCCAACTCCATAAACTCATAGTAACTCCCTCTGTCTGGCTTCTAGTCAGCTGCACAACCTTGGCCCCAGCCTACCTTTATGACCGTGCTCCAGGGCCCAACAACACTGTCTTCCTTGCCTACCCTTCAGCCACTTTGCACATGGAGGATGCTCTCCATGCCCAGCAAGCTCTTCCTCCTGACCTTCCACTCTCAGAAGCCCAAGTCTCTTTCAAAACTCTAGTCAAGAAACACCTTGGGCATGAAGCCTTTCCTGCTCCTGTTCCCATTCCCCTTTCCCCGAATTAACTTTGTATATGTGTGCATCTATGTGTATGTGTATGTATGTGTGTGTGCACGAGTGCCTGGGTGTCTCCCCTGAGAGAATGGAAGCTCTCTGAGGGCAGAGATCATTGTCTTTGCACCCTGAGTGCCCAACACAACGCCTGGCACATAGTAGATACTAATTGAATGCTTACCGATTGAACGATTGAGATGAATGTGTGTGCAAGGAGGGACTTATATGAGAGGGGCCGTATATGGGAACACGGGAGAGGACTATTTCTGTCTGTGAGGTTATCTGTATTGTAGGATGTTCACACACGAGCAAACCTCAAAGCAATATATAAATAAGTCTATTCTAGGACATTAGCAATCATGAGAGGGCGCACGTTTGTACACACACACACAGACACACACACACACACACACACACACACACACACACACACACACACACGTGTGCACCCTTACCGAGATCCTCATGGTCCCGAGTTGGTGGGGCCGGCCTGGCCCTGTAGGCAGCCTGGACCTCTGGGTCATTCACCAGGTGATCCTTGAGGTCAGTAAGGAGATGACGAATGTCCTGCAGCAGCTCAGTAGCTGGGTCCCCAGCCTCTGGCCCACAGGGACCCCCTTGGGCTTCCCTGAGCCTGGCCTGAAGGGCTCGGTGCTGCTTGGCCACGAGGCTGCCCCGAGCCTGGGCCAGAGCCTGCACTCTTTGGTACACCCCACCCCCCGGCTCCCAGTCCTCCCCCTTCTCATCCTGGGCCTCCCCAGCCTCCACCAGCTTGTCTTCCCCTTCCTCCAGGCTGTAGAGGCAACAGGCCTCAGGCTCTGTCTTGGCACTAGGAGAACCCTCTATCCAGGAGACTCGGTGAGGGCCCAGAGGTTGAGGGGCTACAAAGAGAGAGGGAGATGGAGAAGTGTCTGAACCTTCCCTTTTCCCATGACCTCCCTGCCGTCCAGCGCCCCAGGCCCAGCCAGCCATCCAGAGCACCCATCCCATACCAATCAGGTAGCTGTCAACCCTTCCCGCTTACCGAGGGCATCCTTCCGAACTGGCTCTGAAGAGTTCTCCTCTTCGGGCTCCCAGGGCCCATGGTCCCTTAAGTACAGGGGATTCACCACGGAGAGGGCCCCTTTGGTGGAGGTGATCCAGACCGCGCCAATCTGGAGAGGCTCTGGGAGGAAGGAGGAAGTTAGTACTGATAAGGGAGGGGTCAAGGCATCCAGGCTGTGCATCCCTCAGCCCCTAGACTCACCAGTAAGAGGGACTCCAGGCCCCAGGGATCTGGGGGGAGGAAGCAGGGGCTGCGGCAGGATGTCCCTGGGGGAGAATAAGAGGGTCACAATGAGGGGAAAGCGAGGAACTCCCTTCCAAGTCCTCCTGCGCTCCCCAACCACCGCCTCCACCCTACCTGCTGGTGGAGAGGAAGGCCAAGAGTTCAGGCAGATCTGAGAAGCTGAGCTGGGAGCCCTGAAGCGCCACTCCTAGGACAATGGAGGGCAGTTGGCCAGCCATTCCCCCAGGCCCCAGGAGGGCTTGCCTCTCTGACTTAGGGCTTCACTTTCTAGAGTTCACAGACTTTGGTTTCCTATGTCAATGCCGAGGGCAGTGGGGAGGGTCCTGGATACCTGGGGAAAGGGCTGAGGGTCTGGGTTTGGCCTTGGGGGCTAGATACCTGGAAGGAAGGGTGATGAGGTCTGGTCCCCTGCTGAGGTTTGGGGCTGGGGATGGGCCTGGGGGTCTAGAGGTTTTGAGATCAGGCTGCTCACCTGCAGGGGTCTCCAGAATCCGGAAGGTTCCCACAGCCTCCGGGTGGGGGTCTGTATTCATCGTCAGGGCCAGGCTCAGGCCAAACCCTGTGACTAGGAAACTCTGGAGGGGTCACAAGGAACAAAGAAAAGGGGTTACCTAGAGGAAGGAGGGAAGAGAAGCCACATGAGGGGCCCCAGGGGCCTCTGAGAGGGCAGGGGCTTCTCTGGAGACCAGTGATCAGAAGGGCCAAGGGACACACTCACCCCTGGGGGCTGCAGGGCCAGGATGTCTAGAGAACTCCGGGCATCCAGTTGTGGGATCTGCCACAGACCTCGGGTCCTCAACAGACGGAGTCTCAGCTCGGTGAGCCTGGGGAGGGTTAGGGCTGTCTCACCTGCCCTATTCACCAGGGCCTGCTCCCACACTGCGGCTGAGGTGGAGGCTGGCCTCAGAGAGCCCAAACCCAGAGGGATGTCAGGAAGCAGGAACAGGGGAGCAGAGCTAACAATCCTGGGAATCGGGGTTCAGGGGATCCTCCTGCTCAACCTGAGAAGTGTGGGAGGGGTTGCGCTGAGCAAGGGTAACGTATGAGTGTGATGATGAGTGGGGTGTGAGGGACTCAGGATGGGGCTGGAAAAGGAAATGATCACAGCGTGCCCTGCACCCCCTCACCTCTCCCCCTCCAGTAGATGTCCATCTCCTGAATCCTTGGACTGGAGCATCCTCCAGGTACACGGGCCAGTGGTCACTGACCAGCCCCGGGGGAATCCAAGGCCCGGCTCTTGGACCTGGGCAGAGGGGCTGGGTCACGAGCATCATGGACATCTTTCCCCATGACAGACGCTCCCCCCAACCTTGGGATCTGGCCGCAGATATGGGGCAGGGACTGTCTGTGGGAGAGGGCATGGGGTCCTGCATCAGGGCTCCTAGGACCAGGAATAGAGGAGGCTAGATGGCCACGAGAGGAGAAGAGGCAGGGCTAGGGGCTGGATGCCACGGTCCTAGGGAAGAAGAGATTAGGGAGGTCCCAGGGGACGAGAAGAGAGAGTGGGGCGTGGCTGCCAGGGTACCCGTGGGACGGGGTACGCTGGTCCCCGGGGCAGGATAAAGGGGAAGGCTGGGCACCTGGGTTCCCAAGGGACCCAGATTACCTGTTCTTCATGGGGAAGGTTCCAGAGCAACAGGAAGTAAAATCATTACTCCCCTGAGAGGAACCCAGCTGGGTAGAGAGCGGAAGGGGGAGGGGGAGGGGCCACATTGAAAACTTCCTCTCCTCACTCTTTGGGAGTCAGGTGTCTGGCCTTGGTACCTTGGGGGTGGGAGACTGGGGCAGAGGACGGCTCTTGGGGTCCCCAGGAAACTTGGATCTCAATCCTTCTGCTGCGTGAATACAGGAATTCTCGTGTGCCCCTCCCCCCATTCCACCCCACCCTATTTCCTGAAGCTAGCGGAAAGCCCAGCAGGTTTCATTGTGGGGTGAGAGGTCTGGAAGTCCTTCCTGGTGTCTAACCCACTTCCTGCCTGCTGCACCGTGGCTCCTCTTGGGCAACGGGCTCCCCGACCCCCCAGACACACAGTGGCCCCTTCGAGAGACAGACGCAGATGGGAGTGGGTCCCACTTTTGCTTTATTTAGCTCCAGTCACAGACACGTCCCCCTCAGCTTTCCGCCCTCTTTCAATGTCCAAGGGAGGGTAGTAGAGTGTGGGGTGTTGGGGAGCATGAGGACGTGGGGAGCATGGGCCCTCATCTCCCAGGCTCTGGATTAGCTGTTAGGAGGGACACTGAGGGCAGAGATCCCAACCTCCCTGGGGAGGGGAGATGTTGGGGTTCTAGGCCCCAAAGTCCCGAGGAGCAGGGCCCTGGGGAGGGTTAGAGACTGGGAGATGTTCAGGCCCAGGCTCTCTCTGCTGAGAAGCTGGAGCCCAGGTACAGTTAGAGGTTAGAGCGTGGAGGGCCAAGGTGCCTCTTTCCCAGGGGTAGGTTAAAAGCCCAGGCCACGTCCTGTTGGGAGCAGGGAGGTCCTCAGGAGGGTTAGAGATTAGGAGCTGCTCATGCCCCCAAGGGTTAGAGATGAGGGCAGTGTCTGTCCCCTGGGCAGCAGCCCCAGGGCGAGGGGGCCCGGGTCTCTGGCCCCACCAGTGTAGTTTGGCGGCTGAATCACTGGGGCTGCTGTCCTTTCTCAGCTTTGGTGGGCTCCCTGTCAGTCTGGGCAGACTTTCCCGTGGCACCGAGAGGATGCAGGCCGGCCCCAGCCTGGGCATCGATGGCTGCGTGCTCCTTTTTCACAAGCGCCTCCAGTTCTTTCTGTGGGCACAAAAAGGATGAGGTCAGCCACAGATGGCGATTGGGGTCAAGGCTGGAGATGGAGAGCCTGTGCCCCAGAGTGGGGCAGGAGCCCTAGATGCATACCTTCCATCCCAGGAGGTCAGCCAAGGCGAGACAGCCCTTGTCACAGTCCCCAAGCCAGGCCACATCCCTGGGGAGGGGGAGAGGTGAAAAATGAGGACAGCTGTGTGGAACCTGCCAGCCCACCCCCCGCCCCTGTCTTGTTCCCAGCCTACCCCTCTCCCCAACCCAAGCCTCCAAATGACCCCCCAAGCCAGTGGCTCCTCACCTGTAGGCCTTGTCTGAGTCGAAATCCATGCCTCCCCCCATACCCATGAGCCCCAAGAAGGGGTCCCGCTGTCAAAAGAGAAGATAATCAGAAAGCAGTGGGATGGAGGGCTGGCAGTGTCTGAGGGGGGACTGAATCAGAGGCCCCAGAGGTCAGACTCCTATCTAGTAGTCTCTCTCAGACCTGCTGAGGCTGTGCAGGCTGAGAGTTGGCCCTGAGCTGCTGGGCCCAGAGAACACACTCACCTGTCCTGTCTTCTCTTTATTGATCAGGAGTCGAGGGGTGGCGAGTGGGGCCCTGGGGCGAGGTGGACAGAGAAAATGGAGTGAGGCGGCCCTTTCTCCCTCGGTCTCCCTCCCCCCCAGGACCCCCTCCCCCTGCCGCATACTTGCTAACAAGGGAGGCAAAGGGCTGGACTTGCAGGGAGGTGCCCATGATAATAAGCAGATCCACCTTCTGGAAATCCTGGTGGACAGAGAGGGACGAGCCGTTTTCACCTGCCCCGCTGCCCCCTCCCACAGAGCTCAGTCGGGAAAACCCAGGGCAGAGCTGAGCCAGAACACCACGTCCTCTGCCCTTGCTTCGGGCTGGCATTCAAGGCCCCTGGCTTGCTGTCTCTCCCCCTGCATGCCGGCCCCTCCCCCAACATTCCAGACTTCCTCTGGCCTTCCTTCACTCAGGTAGTCTCCTTTCCCAGAATACCCTGCAGTCTGCTCTGCCTCCCCTAGCCCATCTCCCATCTCATTCCTGTACCCGGGATCCCCCCGTCACCCCAGCCACATCACTCTGGATCTGAGGGTCCTTCCCAGCACCACCACCAGGGGGAGCCCCACACCCAACTCGGGCCGTTCAGGGACACCAAAGTGGGAACCAGCCCTCCAGGTTTTAAGGGAACTGAATTAAATTCTCTGTCCATTGGGCGAGCTCCAGAGGCTCGAGGGCCTGAGTGGGATGAGGGGGAGCACAGGAGATGGACCACCTACCGATTGCATGCAGGAGAAAAAGCGTGCTGGGAGGGTCTCTCCAAAGAAGACGATGTCTGGGGAGAGAGGCAGAGACAGCAACAGGGACAGAGAGGCAGAGATAGAGGAGAGACAGAGACAGAAAGACAAGGCAAGGAAGACAGAGAGAGACAGAGACAGAAAGGAAAGAAGGCAGAGCAAAAAGGAGAGGAAAA